TAATAATAAAATAAATTTTAAAAATAAATAAAAATTAATAATTTTTTGTAACACCTGTTCTACAATTCTCAACTTCTGGGCTGAGGGGGATGTTAGGCTGCCTACCTGACCTAAGTCATACCTGCGATTGGTACTGTTTTGTGTCAGACTGTGGAAAGTGAGGGACTGATGTGAAGCTCCTTGCTTTGGGCGACGGGGTGGAGCTTTCACAGTAGATGGAAGCTAAAAGAGCGCAGAGCCAGTACCAGTCCAGAAGGAAGACAGGTGGAAGGGCACCTGGGAGTTGGGATGCAGAGGGAGACGAATACACCAGAGATCACGAAGAAAGCCAAGGAAGAGAGGATGGGTGGGAGACATCTCAGGGGGCTGGGTACAGTACAGAGAAACATCAAAATGGAAGACACTGAGGAAAGGACAGGGGAGGGGACTGTCGTACAACAGCAGGAGGGCTTGGGGAGCAATGCAGATGAGACAGTATTTGTACCCAAGGTAGCTCTACTGAAGGAAAGGGATAGTGGAGTTTCTGTTAGGCAGTGGTGTAGATTTTTGTCTGTTTGCTTAAGGCTGTATTTTGAATCTGAAATCAGTAGTCAGACTGAATATTCAGCTCACAAAAAAAAAAGTAGTAAATAACTTCTGGGGGCTGTTTTGCTGCTTCTTATGCACTTGTCTGGAACAGAGCAGATTCTGCAGGGGGGACCCTGGTGGGCTTTGCCTGCAAACACAGGAGAGCACTCCAAGTTATTTCCTATGCCTATGTTTACAGTACAGCAACAAATGTTGTTACAAATAGAGATACCTAAACATGCCTCAATTTAGATATCAGTAGCCGTGTACCAGTAGCACCATCAACATGAGTGCAAATTAATAAACTTGTCAAGAAATAGGGCAAAATGCGTGATTTAGTTCACAGGGATGGAAAAGTCTCTTTGACATGCTAAAAGGCAGCGTGTGGGGTTGGTTTATGTCCTTGCTTGCCAAGCCAAATGTATAAAAAACAGATCTTCATTCTCAGCAGATTGTAGAGTGAGTTTTAAAGTCCCAGCGTGAGTTTACCCAAAATCAGGGTCAGCAGGACGTTTGAAACCATAAGTATATTACTCTGATTTCAAAAATCTAGTATGCGAAGTCAATGTGTTCAACTTCTTTGCTTCTTAGCTATATAATTGCTAATTTAAAAGAATCATACCGTCACAATTTTCTTATACAAGTATTTGTGGCTGTTGGTACCCTGAAATGTCAAGATTAAACCAGTATACAGCATGTTGCTTGTACAGGACTTTCAGAAAATGTCAGCATGTCTCGTATGAATAAATAGTTCCATTAAGATCAACAATAAAATCAGAATAATTTTGCATGCAGTATTACATTCTCTTGATTCTGATAACAAAACACTGCATTACGGTCATCACATCGCCTGGCGAGATTCCTGGGGCCATCTTAAAGGCGAAGGAAGGTGTAGGTGAGAAAGTTTGGAACTCAGTAGCACCAAAGCTGCTGCTGCTTTTAACTGAGGCAAGGTGCTACTAGACAGTTTATCAGAGGGATCTTGCCACAAAGCAGGGAACGAAACGTTCTGAAATGATTGCTACAGCCCTGAAACAGAAACTCTGATTTTGTTTCCCCCCCCCACCAATAGAATAGCTTTCACAAGCTGGTGAACTTGGAACAAAGGAATGTGAGGTTATAGGATATAGAGCCATGATTTTACAAAAGAGCTCTTTATTTCCGCGTAATCCCCAGCTGTGCAGAAAAGTGCTGATTACATGGTAGTAGTTAAATTTAGTAAGAAATTCCTTGCCTGAAATCAATTTTGATACCCAAGTAGAGTGCCTAATATACCCTGGTTTAAACCTTTTGCTTTTAAGCAATCTGTTTTTCAGTTTACCAATGTCTAAAATTGACAGACCACCTTCTGTTACTGTTAACAAATGTTATAAGTGAACTTGAGATCCTCTGCTACAAGGACATGACAAGTATTTACCAAAACAGCTTCCTTCTGTATGCGTTTCTCTATACTAGTGTTTATTAAAGGAAAAAGAAATCCGGTCATTCATATCAGCTAGTAGATTCTGATGAAGGTCCTAATTCATCAGTACATTTTTGCTGAACTCTGAAGTGTTTTGCTGACTTCAGCCAAAGTTCAAGAGCTTTATAACTGCATCCCAGGTTTAGTAATGCTAATTAAACTTCTTTGGCCTTATTATGCCTTAATCTGTGCGCAAATCTCATGATTGATACAGCCCAAAGCTGTGACTGAGATTGGAAGATGTTTTAGTTATGTACCCATGAGTCAAGGAATTCTGCTACCTTCATGGAAATTAACTGTGCCATCTCACAGCTCTTCTCCTCGACATGTACAGAAAGATGATCTTTTTTGGCAGTTACTTTGAAATAATATCTTTTGTTTGCCCCGTTCCCCCCCGCCTTTTTTTTTTTTTTTTCGTGTTTACTTGCCTCTTCTGGTTTTTAAAATATCTTTGGAAATAATTTTTTTTTTTCGTAAATGTAATGTTATATGAATGTACACACTTTTAATTCTTTACCGTATGAAAAAAGTCATGTTTTACTTCTGTACGATGTTTCTTCTCTTTTAGATATTGTGCAATGGACCAGGAACATGTGTTCCTGTCTGTATATCTGCACTTCTTCTTGGGCTTCTAGGAATAAAGAGAACAATTATTGTGTATGTGGAGAGCATCTGCCGCGTGGAAACTTTATCCCTGTCTGGAAAGATTCTTTACTACTTTTCAGATTATTTCATCGTTCAGTGGCCTGATCTAAAGGAAAAATATCCCAAGTCCGTGTATCTCGGTCGAATAGTGTAACAACAGAAGACAAGCTTTACCTAAAATAAACTCTGCAAACTCCTCACTGAAGAAATGCATTCATGTAGCTATTTATTTTCAAGGATTCCTGTTATAAAATTAGGCTCATACTGGAAAAGGAGACAATAATAAAGATATCTCCACATTTAAGTA